AAACATGCTCAAAGTCACTGATTGTCTGAGAAATGCAAATCAAAATGACAATGAGGTACCATCTCACACCTGGCAGAATGGCTATCATCAACAAATCAACAAACGACAAGTGCTGGTGAGAATGCGGAGAAAAAGGAACACTGTGCACTGCTGGTGGGAATGCAGACCACTGGGCACACCAGCCAGGGAGAGCCTATACACTTTTTGACAAAGCCACTTTGAGTTGGATTTCTGTCAATTAGCTCCTGGTGGGAATGCAATTAGGAAAACTGTTGGGTGGTATCTATGAAAACTGATGATATGCATACCCCGTGACTCAGCAATTCCACTCCTAGACATATGCCCAACAGAAACAGAAACACTTGTGCTAGAGAGTAGTCCTAGAAGCACTATTTCTAACAGCCCCAAATGGAAACAACCCGAATACCCATCAACAGGATAATGGATAAATAAATGTGGTATATCTATACAATGGAGTGCTACACAGCAATGAGAATAAACAATCTATAAGTATATGTAATAATATGATTGAATCTCACAGGCATTAGATGGAGGTAAAGTGCATACTGTCCATTCCCTTTCTGTGGACTTTAAGAACAGGCAAAACTCATCAATGGTGACAGAAGTCAGAATAGCTGACATGGGAAGTAGTAAAAGAGAAGTAGGAAAAGGAGCATGAGCAGGAGCAGATCCCTGTTGTAGGGAAGTTTTTGTGCTTCCTTTGGAAATTAGAGTCCTGCAAGGAAGCGTTTTATTCTTCTTCTAAGCGATCTGGACAGCTCTGAGCTACAGACTCAAAAATACTGACGGGGAAAGAGGGGGGCAAGGAGAACGGATCCCCAGGGTCCCGCTCCTATCTGACTCATAGGGTCACATCAACGAACTCTCTCTTCCATGAGCAATTTTCTCTGTAGCATGCCATGCTACTTGACAGCATTTTACCCACAGTAAAATTTCCTTCAAAATTGGAGCCAGTTCTCTCAAAGCCTGCCACTGCTTTACCAACCAAGTTTGTGTCATATTCTAAATCCTTTGTTGTCATTTCAACAATCTTTATAGCATGTTCACCAGGAAAAAAAAAATGATGCTAACAGACTTGTTCAATGCAGGATTGCCACAAATTCTCAATGTGTAAAAAACACAATATCTGCACAGCATAATAAAGTGTAGCACAATAAAATGAGGTATGCCTGTGTTTTCTTTGTATATAGAACGCTGGGTTGGAGGGGTTTTTTTTTGTTTGTTTTGTTTTTTTCATCACTTCAAAACATTGTTTCACTTCCTTTTAACCTCCACAGTTTCTGATGAGAGGTTGACAGTCTTTCAAATAAATTTTCTATATGCTTTTTTTTCTCTAACTACTTTCAGAATTAATTTATTTCTCTTTAAAGACAAAGTTTATAAGTGTGATTATCATGTATCTGGGAGGCAATTTCTTTACATTTATCCTATTTGGGATTTGCTGAGTTTCTTGAACCTATAAATTTGGAGAAGTTTTCAGCCATTATTTTTCTATTATTATTTCTTGAGTTGCATTCTTTCCTCTCTCCTAGGACTCCAATGGCATGAATGTTTGATATTTTGTTACTGTACCACAGGTCCCTGAAACTGTTCAAATTTTTCAATTTTTTATATCTCCATTGTTCAAACTGAATAATTTCTATTGATCTGTCTTCGAGTTCACTGACTCTTTCCGCTGTCAACTCCATTCTGCTATGGAGCCTATTCAGTTATTTCTAAATTTTGGTTATCATATATTTTAGTTATATCATTTCTATTTTGTTCCTTTTTGTATCTTCTATATCTTTGTTGAGACTTTCTATCTTTTCGTTCATTGCAAGAGTCTTCACCCTTACTTCTTGGAATATATTTATAACAGCTGCTTTAAAGTAGTTTTCTGATAATTTCAAAATTTGTGTTATCTTAGACTTGACATTGTCTTTTTACTGTGAGTTGAGATTTTTCTATTTCTTCATATCCCAAATCATTTTAGATTGTATCCTGGCCATTTTGAATACCATGTTATGTAACTCTGGGTCTCATTTAAACACTAAAAAGAACGTTGATTTTTTTTTTTTTATGTTAGCCGACGTCTGACATAGGCTAGGTACAGGTCGTAAGTTTTAACCCACTTTCTGGGCTCTGTTTCCAATATCGGCTCAGGTTTCACAGCCTTTTGCAATTCTGTTCAAATGTGTCCTACACGTGTAACCCCAGTGGCCAGTCAGGCCTGGTGGTCTGCCCCATAGCTCTGCTCTCACAGCCTGTCACGTTCTGTTTGGGATCAGACCAATGCGTTTGCAGTTTGGAAGTGATCCCAGAGGTTCACACACAACGTTATGGGATCACTCTTCTGTGCTTCTCCTTTCCACAATCACCCAACACTTTTAGGCTCCCCAGGGCCTCCCTGGCCAGGCTCCCAGCCAGAAATCTCAGGCTTTAGTTTCTCAGCTTTTCTATTACTTCTTATGACTGTATCTGTCCAGGGATAAGTAGGAGGAGGACAAGGGGGGTGGGGGGAGGGGAAGCAACCTGCCCATTCTCTTGGGTTCACATCTCTTCTGGTAAGAGACAAGATTTCCTTTCCCTCAGAATATCAGGCACCGACTTGGCTGATACATTCTGCCATTACCATTGCCACCGCCACCACCGTAAGACTGTATGGAGGCTGGGATGGGAGATGACAGCGGAAAAGAAAAAAGAAACAGGAAAATTTCCCCGTCTCTCTGATCCTAAGGAGCCTTTTCCTACTCTTCAGACCAGAAAGAGAGCTCCTTTTGCTCCCATGAAGTTCTTTCTGTCTCTACCTAGGGCACCCTTCCAGGTTTTAGGCTGCATTTGAGTCCAGGCCAGGCAATACTGTAGGGGGAGGGAGTCAGGAAAGGGAAACTCATCCCAGTTCAGTTGTATTTCAAATTCTTTTTCTCTCTTCAAACTACTGGCTACTATTTAATTTTCAAGTGGTCAGAGAGCTGGTTCATACCTCCCATCCAGGGTTTATAATTGTGTTCAGTGGGAGACATATATGTTTACGCTGTCTTTCTCAGAACCAATCTTTCATCTGTGGGGTTTTAATTTCAATTATATTTTTTTATTTCTAGACTAGAAGCCTGGTGCATGAAATTCGTGCATAGGTAGGGTCCCTAGGCCTGGCCGGCAATCAGGCCTGATCAGGATCCCCACCTTCCCGCCTCCCTGCCTCCTCCCTCCCTCACTCCCTCAGCACCCTGCCACCTCTGCTGGTCGCCCACCATGTTCCACGCCACCCCCTGGTGGTCAGCACACATCATAGCGAGTGATCAAACTCCCGTTCGACCGGTCAAACTCCTGAGGGGACACTTTGCATATTAGCCTTTTATATCTATGTATATAAAAGCCTAAGCGACTAACCGACCAAACAACCAGAATACCCGGAACGACCAGTCGACCAGTAGCTATGATGCGCACTGACCACCAGGGGGAAGACACTCAACACAGGAGCTGTGGTGGTCTGTGCGCTCCCACAGCAGGAGCGCCGCTCAGCTGACCAATCTGTCCCAACGGCCCACCAGCCAGGTGGCAGCCACTCACTCCCTCAGTAGTCCTGCAGGTCCAATCTCGAGAGAATGGGCCAGGCACCTACAGACCAGCGCTGCCAGCACAATCCTGACAGCGCCACCGCCAGCCTCCTGAAAGTCAGCCTCGGGCACCATGGCCACTTCCCCTCCCTAGACGCTCCGCAAGGAAGAAACAATATAAAAGCGGCCTCCAGGTGGCTCCCAACAACCAACGCAAACGTCAGCGGGAAGGATCCGGATCCTGGGCCCACATGGGCGTCCCACCAACCACCCGGAGGGCTGATCGCGTCATCTCCCCCCCCACCCCACTCCCCTCAGGACCCCACCCGTGCAGGCCTCTAGTATATAGATATTGTACTTGGGTTTTTTTCAAGCTCATCCAATCAGTTTTGATACTCTCTCTCTCTCTTATTCTTCTGTCAGACACTCAACCACCTCTTTAATTTCTTTAAGAAACCACACATAATTATTTTATCTTCTATAACAGATCATTCCAATATCTTCAGTGGTTGTTGGTCTGATTCAGCAATATTGTTTCTGCTGACTCTCATTTCATGTAGCTTATTTCCTCTTCTGTTTAATGATTTTTTATTTTTATTTTTTTGTGTGACCTCCTGTTCCTTGGAAGTTTATCTGTGATAATTCCTAAAGCCTAGATTTAAAGTGTGTTCCTCTGGAGCATTAGCAATTGCTTTATCAGGCATCTGGGGAACTGCGCTTTTTATTTTTTTTTGCCAGTTGTTTGTTTGCTTGTTTATTTGTTTGTTTGTTTGTTTGTTTTTAGGAGGGGAGCTCAGGGAGCAATATAGTGTGAATTTGGGTGCCACACCCACTTAAAACTTAGAAACTCTCAGGAAAGATCTTTCTTTTCTCTGCTCCAACCCTAGTGAAGTCAGAGGCAGCTAAATCTCTGTGGCTCTTCTTTTTTCTAGCCCTTGGGAATCCTAGCTTTATGCAGCTGGGATCTAGCTGTTTCTAGCTGTCTTTCTATGTCCCACCTTGCTTGGACCCCAAGAATTATCTTCTGTGCCATGCGCTGTGTGGCCTGTTAAACCCAGACTTTGGGCCACAGGGATAGGCAGGCATCCTTCGGGTAAATGCTGGCTCCAAAACGTGTTCACCTCTGTGGACTCAAGCTTTCTTGATGCTTCTGAAAATGACATTTCCCTCGCTTTCTCTCATCTAAGTTACGTTTTTAAAATATTTTTTTAAAATTTATGCAGCATTTTAGGTGTTCTACCCCAGGGGATATTTCTCTCTGTACCTGCTGGAAATGGCATCTTTGACTTCTGCTAGGAGAGTCCACTCGGATCACAGTTCCTGTGATAGCTAATAACCTTATTTTTATTGTCCCCACCTAATTTTGTATTCACCACTGATTATATTTTCCTCCCTCTTTCTCCTTTCCCTTTTCTGGCTTGGCCAACTTTCTCTTTATTCCTTATTTCAAATCCCATCACCACCACCATCATTACTTACTTACTTAGAAATTCTACTCTGCTTTTCAATTTTGCAGCTGGTTTTGCCTGTTAACTTCTCCCCAACCCTTTTAGAAATCTTTAGAATCTTTTTATTCTCTACTCTCCAAAATGCGTTCCCCTCCATGGATTTGCTGGTGACCTAGACCAGCCCTGTCCAGTGAACTTCCTGCAGTGATGGAAGTGTTCTGTGTGTGCTCCGACCAACACAGAAGCCACTGGCCACGTGTAGCCACTGAGCACTTCAAAGGTGACTGGAGCCACTGAGGAACTAAATGTTTGGTCATATTTAATTTTCATTAATTTAATGTAAGGAGCCGCATGTGACTAGTGGCTACCACATTGGACAGTGCAGACTTTGATGATTTCATTTCTGACTTTTAACACATGTCTCCTGACAGCATGGCTTTCTTTGTTTGAAGAATCCCTACTTAACACTACAAATTATTAACCACATTGTCATAATTCATTCTGATTTAACTATATGCGTCTATTCCTTCCGACTGTTTTCCTGAGTACTTTCTCATCCCCTGTTGAGATCGCTCTTTCTAACCCAGTTTTCATATCTCCTTAGTACTTCGTTCAATCCTTGTGTGCCCCTCAAAATTACCCTAACAGAATTAAGGTATCTCGGGATTAAGACTCTTGGGTCACAAATCTTTTCCCTAACAGCCTGTAGAAGTTTTACTGTCCAGTATTGCAGATGTAAAAAATCAATGCTAGTTTGATTCTCTTTGAAATCCCCTGCATGAACCTGTATGATGTTCCCTTTACCCTGGGGTGGCTGGTAAGAATCTCAGACCACAGACTGAGGAATATGAGGAGAATAACTGCTTATCTAACTGAATTCCCTTTACCCTGGGGTGGCTGGTAAGAATCTCCGACCACAAACTGAGGAATATGAGTGTGGGCGGGGGAGCCCAAGGAGGACCTAGTTCCTGGTCCTTTGCCACGTTCCTTGTCCACCAAAGACGTCTCGACATCAGACATTGGTGCCCACCAGCTACGCCTTGCCTTCCTCTGGGCTCCACCTCAGCCTCTCCGAGTCCTCCTGCCCTCCGTGCCTTGACTGTGCCACACTCTTGGGCACAACAAAAGCACACTGCCACGTGCACCCCATTCCGGGCTGTGGGAAACCCCTTAGGCACACAGGAGCCTCCTGCTGCTCCTGGGAGCTCTGGGAGGCCCTATCAGGCCCATGTGCCCGGATGTGCCCAATGAACAATGTCCACTTCTGCTCCAGGACCTGTCACGACACAAGCTACACCAGGGCGCAGCGCCTCCCCATTCGTAGATCCCTAGGCCGATCTGGGCGATCCATCTCTCCTCTCACTTCCCCTGTGGGTCTCCTCCCTCCCCAGCTCATTAATCTTTATTTGGTTTGGGAGCCATAGAGAGAGTGAGTAGCAAAGGCTGGATTCAAATTCAGATGTCCAGACATGCAAGACAGGCCCCTCCCAAGCCTGCAGTGAGCGTTCACAAAGCAGACGCCCTGCCCCGTGCAGAAGCTGCCTGGGAACCCCTCGGGCAGGGACTTACCTGCCAGACAGGAAGTATTCGATAACTGCTATTGGAAGAGGTTGAGGCCACCCAGGCAGAAGGTGTGCGATGCTTTCCCACTCTTCACGCGAGGCTGAGTCCCCACTGTGGGCCTGACACTGACCCCTGCTTGACCCGTCAGCCAGGGAGCTGTGAGGAGTGGGGCTGGGGAAGGGATGAAGTTAAGAGATGAATGTGTGTACCCCAGCATGTTGGATAGCACAGTCACATCACAATGATTGATGCCAGATGCTGTGCTCAGAGCTTTCTGACTCCTCACATTACCTTTTCCAGAACGAAAGAGTCTTCTCCAGTCCCCTTTTATAGATGGGGAAACTGAGGTTTCGAGAGATTGGGTCACTTGCCCAAAGTCACACAGCAGGTAACTGGAGAAGCTGGATCCAAATCAGCTTGAAAGTGGAGGCCCAAACCTCCACACCACACAGCCGCTGCTCCACCAGCTGTGTGACGCTACCCACTTGACAGAGGAGGGAACTGAGGCCAGAGGAAGGAAAGAACTTGCTCAAGTCAGTGGGAGACCGGGACCCAAACTCAAGACTAGAGCCTGGGCTGTTTAACCTCAGTGGTCCCTGCCATAAGGGAAGACAGATCTGGATGTTTGTGCCCTGGGGTGGCGGCCATCAGTACACCTGGTGCCCGTCCCGGCCAGCAGAGGTCAGCCTTTCGGGGTGAGCAATAGCAAGGCAGGCCCACACGGTCACTCCTGGAGACCAGGCAGTGTGCAGGCCCCAGCACGGAGGTAAACGAGCCCCTGGCTGTGTCATGCTGCGAGGATACGAGGATACGTTTTGCAAGAGAGTCTCACCCCCCTCACCCCCCTGCCAGTGCCCACACCCCACAGTGCTCACCTGCACTTCAGCCAGCAGGCTCAAGGCCCTGCTGAGTGGGTAGCCAGGAAAGTGTCTCCGCCCTCTGACCTAGTTGATTGGGCGAGAACTGGGCACCCGACTGGGCTGGGCCAATCAACTTCTTTCTCTCCTGATTTCACAGGAAGTGCATCTCCCTCCCTGCAGCTGTGGGCCTGGGCGTCCTGAGGCCAGGCTGGTGGGAGGAGGCCCCGCCAGGCAGAAGGCCGTGGTGGCCGTGAGAAGACCCCTAAAGATCTCTGACTGTGGGGAGCAGAACTGACCCACGGCTTCAGCAGCTGCGCTCTGGGCCTTAAAGGTCAGTAAGTCCACCTGCCTCGTTCTACCTGTGAGGAAACTGAGGCTCAGAGAGGGGGTGGTGTGGTCACGGTGAGGGAGGGAAGGAGTGGCCATATCAACAGCTGGCCTTGGACAGATGGCTCTTCACCTGCAGTTTGCAAGGCAGCAGCACTAAGACTGAGAAAGAGGCACCCTTCCCCGACCGGCATTCACGGGCTCCGCTGGCCAGTGATGGGCACGGCCAGAATATGGAGCAGACCCATTCCCAGGACGGGCGGCACCTTCTGACAGGCACCTGGGCTAGAGGGCCAAACTTCCTTAAAACTGCTCTGCAATTCAAAATGCGTCCGCTCAGCCTGCCTTCTTCCCTCCCTTCTCCCCTTCACCTGGTTCAGATCAGCAGCTAGGCCTGAAGCGCTGCAGCCTCCCCAGCCTCGTCCCCATTCCCCTTCACAAATCTGCTCTCTAATAAACCGCTTGCACATTCAATCCTGTCTCGGTATCTGCTTCTCAGAGAAGTGGGATGAATTCCAGGCCTCACCCTGCAGGCCAGTCCTGGCTCCAGGACCACCCTGTGTCTTCCTGAAGTGATAGGACATCCATGGGACACACACCAGCTGGGACAGTGGACAGTGGGAGCTGGTCCTCATCCTGCCCAGGACCCGTTACTCCCTAATGCACAGACTCAGGGAATGCTCCCCTCCTGGGACCCAGGTGCCACCTTACCCTGGAGCCACTGCAGCCGCTCCCATCTCAGACAATCCCAGTTCTGGGACTCCTCCTACGTCAGTGGTGAATGTGTGGGTGTGAGATAGGTTGGAAGCAGAGCAGAAAGGGACAGTTATATATTCATTTGTGTCTTATGATCCAGGAATTCATCAAGCACCCACTATGTGCAAGGCACAGTGACAGCAGAGTACTCCAGGAATGGCACGAGGTTTGGAGACGCTTGGAAAGGAAGAATTGAGTTGGAGTATTCCCCACTCAGAGCTGTGTGATGTTGAGCAAGTTACTTAGCCTCTCTGATCCCATTTCCTCATTGATAAATGGATTGTGTGAGAATTTCATGCTTCAGAAAACAACAAAGTGGCAATCACAGATTTCTACAAATAGCCAGAGGTTCTATTGTTAGGGCTGCATTATTACTCTGTCCTTGAAGGAAAGAGCCAGCAGTACCAGGGTCTGATCCTTCATGCTGAGCACCTAGAGACCAGCCTCCTACACATTGTCAGTAGCTGGAGCCTGTGTTCTGGCCAGTCACTCGCATGCTGAAGGTCTGGCCCACGACTCATGCCTTTCTCCTCTACCAACAGACCTCCTTCCATGAGAGCAGCTTCTACTGGCTAAAGACGAGGGCACAGAGAAGGTGGAGGAGAGGAGCAGGAGCCAGGGCCCTGCAGAGGATGGCCTGGCCACCAAAGGAAGGACTTAGATGTGAAGCAGACGTAGAACCAGTCCTCAGGATGGGCTGTGGAACTGGACATCTCTGACCTGAGTTACCTGGTTAAACACTATAAACGCTCTACATTCCAGGAGACAGATGTAGACGAAGTGACCAGCAGATTCTGAGGAAGGAGAGCTCAGACCCAAATGGAAAAGTCAAGGAGGAGGTGGCATTTACCAAGCCCTAAAAGATTCTGGGGGGACTAGAGACGGTGGGAAACTCTGAGAAAAAGAACCAGTACGAGCAGAGGCTGGGAGATGGGAAAGGATGAGAGAGCGTCCCCCTGGAGTGGGACAAAAAAAGGAGAAAAGTTAAAAACTACGCCATAGGAGTGACAAAGCAGGAGTCAGCTTCTGGAGGACCCTAAATACCCTGGCCAGGTGTCTGACACTTACCCTGCTCAGCAGAGGGGCCACAAGGATGGTATTTTGAGCACAGGAATAATGCTCCCACGTGTACTGGCGAGATGGGTGGCCCAGGCAGACCCCAGAAAGATTTGCCAGCCCTTGCCTTTATTTTATACTAGAGGCCCAGTGCACGAATTCGTGCACGGGTGGGGCCTGGCTGGCCTGCCCTGATTGGGCTGGCCGGGCTGGCCAGGGCACGGGCAGTTGGTGGGCTGACCCCACTTCTGATGGGGGGCAGGGGGCTGACTGGGGTGGGGCCAGCTGGGAGGAGGGGTCGAGGGCAGTTGGCTGGCCAGCCCCGCACCCTGGTCTAATTCCCGGTCGAGGGGACAATTTGCATATTAGCCTTTTATTATATAGGATGCCCCATCTCTCTGTGTTGTGTGTGTTTTTTAAGATTTTTTTTTTTTTTAGAGAGAGAGAGAAAGGGAGGGAGAGGGAGAGAGAAACACCGATGTGAGAGCAAAGCATTGATTGGCTGCCTCCCACATGCCCCCCACTGGGGATTGAGCCCCCACCCTGGGCATGTGCCCGACTGGGAATCCAACTGGCAACCTTTTGGTACATGGGACAGCACCCAATCAACTGAGCCACACTGGCCAGGGCTCTGTCTGTGTTTTAATCAGGGGGTGAGAGTTAGGAAAGCTATGCATTCTATATGTCATGAGCCTTTCACGCATCTCCTATGTAACCACTCCCAATACACAGGCACGCTCACACTCACATGCACTGACTAATACACCGACCCATTCCCAGATTGCATGGCCAACATTAGCCACCAGAGGGCGCCTCCAACACCCCAGCAAAGCCAGAGTCTAACACTGGGCTGAGAACCAGCCCTAAGCAGAAGGGGCCGTAGAGATCAACAAGTCCAACCTGCTTCATTTTACACGTGGGGAAACCAATGCACAGAGGGCAGGGTGCTCTGGTCAAGGTGAGGCAGAAGGGAGTGGCCACCTCAACAGCTGGATCTGAGCAAATGGCTCTTAAACTGCAATTTGCAAGTCAACAGAATTAAGACCGAGAAAGAGACACCCCCACATGCCAGCACATACGGCATTCACATCCCCACTTCTCCGGAGAGGTTCTCCTCACCAGCCACCGCAGTGCCTGCCTTTCCACCAGTAGAGGGTCACTCTTTTAGATTAAAATACACCATGTCCAACAACCTCTGTGTGAATGTCCTGGTACATGTCCCGCAAGGTGACAGATCGCATCTTCGGGCCCTGAGGTGGGAGGTCCACACTCTTACTAGGATCCCACTGCAAGCTGGGAGTGGGGCAAATCTCCCTCCTTTTCCCGAGCGCTGGAACACCTCTTCTCTGAGAGGGAGGCCCTGAGAGTGAGGTCCCTTCACCCTCCTATGTCACTTTCCCTGGAAACTTTCCCAGGTTTCTCTCCACCCTGTTCTCCACAGCTCTCTGGACCCACCCCTGCCAGCCCGCCACCCACCGCAGTTCAGATGAGTATCTGTTCTGATGTCCTCAGCCCTGGCCTCTGGGAGCCCCTCACGGTAAAGGACTGTGAGCTGGTGCCTGGCTCACTGCCTGGCCCCCTCCAGCCGCGCTGCTGAATGTCTCCTCGCTGCTGTTCGATGGGAGGAGACGGCGCAGTCCCACAGAGTCGGGGCTGAAATCAGGAGACCTGTGCTCTATTCCCAGTCCTGCTACAAACTGCTGGAGGTGCGTCCCTCCCGCTCTCCAAGGCCTCCCTGTGTTCTTTCTGGCCCTTAAGAGAAATGAATGGCCGAGGCACCCCTGGGATCCCTTCCCACTCAGACGTTCTGAATCGGAGGTTTAACTTACAAGGGCCCTTCAGAGAAAAGCCAGTCCTACTAGTAGACGATTCCCAAGCCAAGAGAGTGGCCCTTCCTTCCACCACTATAGGACCACCACCTCCCATTCCTTGAACTACCTCCTGTAAACAGCAGGGGGCAGGAGCTCTTCAGTGTGCGGAAGTGAAAGAATCGCACAGATGCTTGCAAGGAGGCTGCTATTGCAGACAATGCTCTCAAACTCAGAGCCGTAATTCCAAGAATTATTAACTTGAATTTTCTGATGGTTATGAGGTCTTTGAGATTCTATAGA